TGGGGTTCTTAACCATTGTCATAGGGCAATATGTGTACTGTTTAATGAGAAACTATTTTGTTCTGTAAATCCTCATCTAAAGTCAGCAAGGCAGCACAACTGGAATAACATAATCGATTTCACTGAACTGTGCATGCAGAAATTTTTGAAATGGTGTATCTTTGGCTATGTATACTTTCACCAAAAAAAAAAAAGTCAAGAAGGGAGAGGGTTGACGTGTCGTGGGGTTGTTAACCAATGTCGTAAAACAATATGTGTACTACTGTTTAATGAGAAGCTATTTGTTCTATAAACCTTCACCTAAAGTACAATAAAAAAAAGATTACAAAGAGCAAAATATTTTTTCCAGTGCATATAAAATCTAAGTGTCATTACCTGTCATACTCAAGAGGTTTATACAAATCAACCAGTCAAAAAAAACCCGTTGCCATCAGTTAGATTCTGACTCATAGCAACCCTATAGGACAGAGTAGAATTGCCCCATAGGGTTTCCAGGAGGCACCTGGTTGGTTCAAACTGCGGACCTTTTGGTTAGCAGCCATAGTTCTAAATCACTAATTAGTAGTTATAAAAAGACCAACAGCCCCACGAAAAATGTTTTAAAAATTTGAACATATAATTCACAAAAGAGGAAATGCAAATGACTAGTATATCTATGAAAATAGCAACTGAAAATTGAAACAGCTACATAGAATTTTTTTGCTCAGAAAATTGCTAAACATTAAAAAGTTTAATGTCATCCAGAGCTGGAAAGAGAGTGGAAAAGCTAGAACTCTCACATATGGTTGATCAAAGTGTAAGGTTGCTCAGTATTTTAGAAACAATTCATCAGTTTATTAAAAGTACTATGTACAGACCATTTAACCAAGCCATCCTCCTCCAAGGATTCTAGCCTACTGAAATATGAGCAAGAATATTTAGCAACAATTAAGCTCACAGATAAAAATTCACATATTTCCAAACTATGTGAATATAAAGGACATATTTAAGAATGTTAGGTACAGTCTTGTTTATAAGGGAAAATACCAGAAGAAGCCTACTAAATATCTATTAATATAATCTGGTTGAATAAACTATGGGGCATCCAAAGTAAAGAATTTTATGCAATGATTAAAAAGAATATGCTAGATGTGCATGGTTTTACTTACAAGATGTCTACAATTTATTACAGCCCTGGTGGCGAAGTGATTAAGAGCTCAGGCTGTTAACCAAAAGGTTGGCAGTTCGAATCGACCAGCCAATCTTTGGAAACCCTCTGGGAAACTTCTACTCTGTCCTATACAGTCACTATGAGTCAGGATTGACTCAACGGCACACAACAACAACAACACCACAATCTATTGGCAAGTGAAAAATGCAAGGTAAAGAACAATACGTCCAGCCTGATTCCAGATTTTATTTTAATAAAATGGGCATGAAAATACATTCTCTATATACATAGATATATGAAATAATTTCAGAAAAATAATTTGAGAGCCTTTTCTTATGGCGAGTAGCATAGGATTAGCAGAAAGGTCCATTTCATTTGTTACTGTGATTTTTAGTAGTTTTCAAATAAAAGTATTAGAAAATGCAGCCTGGAGAGTCATCAATTATTCACACGCACATACCAAAGGGAGCCACTTTATGAAATTTGCTAACCAACGGTTAAATGAATTGGCATAAAACAAGTGATTAAAACCAGAAAGAAATTACAAATGTGACAAACGGAAATGACCAATCCTGGTTCAGGTAGGAGTGGTTTTTTCATACTCAAAGCCAGGTTGTTCTTAATGGGCTAAAGAAGAGGTAACTTACCTGTGGCATTGGCTTTCTCTGGTTGCAGTTGATGCCTCCAATGTAGATCTTGTTGGGCATCACAGGTTTGGGATACTCAAAAACAAAGTCAGTTCTTAACAACCAAATTGATGCATGGCTGTAGAGGTCATAAGCTGTGACTGGCATTTGAAGAATCTCAGAGGCAATTTCTAACCCATGTCTGACAAAATAGTGGCAAAATAAAACTCCTCCAAATGGAAGACGTGGTTCAATACTCTCTCCCTGAAGGTCATGGTATCTGACAACCCTGAGAGACCTCTGGGAACGTAAGAAACAGGACTTGGGGACTGTGTGTTTTCTTCAAGATGATGACAAAATGGTCCCCTGCTGAAGGCCACAGCTGGGAGTGAAAAATATTTGGCAACAAGTAAGCCACACATAACAAAAGGATCCGTAAACAACGCATCAAAAGAACTCTCTTCTTATGTACTCCACTAATTTCGTGTCGTTAAACTCCTACAGTGTGATAAAAAGTAGTTAAACACAGCGCTGGCTGGGCTCCTTATTGCAGATAATATACCAACGTCCTGACTTTTCCAACAATAATTGGTGAAAACCATGAACTCATGATCCAGATCCTCAAGCGTGTAAGAAGTTGAGTAAGTCTTTACTGTGAAGTTGGATGATTTTCCCAGGTGCCAGCTCACCTCCGGCATGACTACGACCAGCTCATGCCCTCTGTGGATGAGTTTCTCCACAACGGCTCGCATGGTGAACCAGTGGCTCCCATCCATGGGGACAACCAGCAGCTTGCCTGCCTCGGCAAAGCCAGGTGTCAGCAGGAGACATACACACAGAGGAAGGAAGCCCGTCAACATTGCAGGCACCATCAGGACACTGCAGCCCAGAGCAGCTAGCTGCTTGGATTCTAAGATCGCGTGATACAGTCTCCTGGAGAAGTCCAGGAACAAAACCTGCCCAAGAGAGGGTGTGTCTTCCTGCACACATCAAGAGACTTGTTCTCAAAGCCAATGATTTACTCATAAGGACAATAATGAATGAGTGTATTTGGTGAGATAACTTCTGTATGTTTCTCAAACAGGAGTAGCTTTCGATCTTTGCCTTGGGCAGAGACCATGCCCGATACTGCAAAGTGAGCTTAGAAACAAAATTATTACGCAACCCTTTTGAACCCTGAAGACTCACAAAAATAAAAAGTAAAGTTGAATAAAGCTCATCTTTTGGAATTTTTCCCAAAGTAAATTTGGATTTTATCCTCGGACTACCAAAAGCTTTTTGCCCAGAAGTGGATCAGCTTCCCAGGTTCCAGGGAAAGACCTTAAGTCCCTTACCACTGACCTGGAATTGTTGTTTACAAGTGTTCCTGGAAGACATAGGCATTGCTGCTTGTATTGTTTCATTTCCAGCAGGAAATTACAAACCTTTGAGGCCTCTGAAATGCTGAAATAAGATTGACAACCCCATCTCCGTGGGCTATTCCAGAGATTTGGTGGAATGTGACTGACATCTATTTAAATCACTTTCCCTAGATATGACCACAGGGTGGTTGTCCAACTGTCCAATCCCTGCCAGAAGCCCACTAGTGAAACACCTCACTTATCTGTGCTTCCATTCATCTGTTTAGACCTCTGCTGTAGGACTTGCCCCAACAGGCCTGGTGCTGTCCTTCAGGAATCAATGTGTCTGTGTCCCGCGCTCTACAGAGCGCTCCTTGAGGGCAGGGGCTGTCTTCTTGTTTGCACCCTTCTCCCATAGTTCCTGCCCTACACTCACACAGAGGAACCCACAAGAAATGCTGGTTGGGTTGGACTGAATTACATCATGCAGCTAGGTGTTCTAGATGCTTCATGGGTGAGGCCAGTGTGTGTATTACTCAGTAGTGCATGTCAGCTAAACCTGAGGAACATTTAGTGAGGAATTCTGGATCCCAACCTGGAGACCAATATTAAAAAACGGGCAAAAATTTGAACACAGTCATTTCACCAAAGAAGATATACACATGGCAAACAGGCCCATGAAAAGATGCTCAATATCATTAGCCATTAGGGAAATGCAAATTAAAACTACAATTTAATTTACACACTTATTAGCTAAAATTCAAAGGAGTGACCACCCCATGTGTTGGTGAGCATGTAGAAGAGATGGGCCTCTCACAGGCTGCTACTGGGACTGTACAATGGTATGGCCACTTTAGGATATCGTTGGGGGGTTTCTTGAAAATGTAATCATACACCTACCGTATAACCAACTATTCCACTACTGTTGTTAGGTGCCATCTAGCTGATTCCAACTCATAGTGACCCCATGTGACTGAGTAGAAGTCCGCCATAGGGTGTTCTAGGCTATAATCTTTACGGAAGCAGAGCACCAGGTCTTTCTCCTGCATATCCGCCAGGTGGCTTTGAACCACCAACCTTCCCCTTAGCTGAGCACTTAACCACTGTACCAACCGGGTCCCTAACCATTCCACTAGTAGGTATTTATCCAAGAGGAAAGAAAGCATACTTCCATACAAAGACCTGTATGTGAATGTTCATAACACTTTTATTTGTAGCATAAAAAACTGGAAAAAGCCCAAATGTTTATAAACAAATTGTGGTAAATCCATACAATGGAATACTTGTCAGCAATAAAAAGGAATGAACTATTTAACATGTACACCCTAGCAATGAATCTCAAAATAATCTTGCTGAATAAAATAAGCCAGACAAAAGAGATGTACATAATGTAAAATTGCATTTACATACAATTGTAGAAAATGCAAACTAATGTACAGTGACAGAAAGCTGTGGAGGGGGTGGGGTTAATGTGGGGTGGGGAACACAGCTGGGAGGGATTGGGAGACAGGGATTACAAAGGGCACCAGGAAACTTTGGGGGGTGATCATTATCTTGATTGTGACGGTGGTTCTACTGGTGTTTACATATGTCACAACTTATCGAATTATACACTTCACATATGTGCACTTGATGGCATGCCATTTGTATTAGTGCCTTACAGCTGCCATTAACTAAGTACTACAGACTGGGTGTTTTATAAGAACAGAAATTTATTGTCCCACAGCTCTGCAGGCTAGAAGTCAGAAATCAGGGTGTCAGCCATGTTGATTCCTTCTGAGGCTTCTGGTGACCTTGGTGATCCTTGCGCTTCCTTGCCTGTAGATCCATCACTCCAGTCTCTGCCTCCATCATCACATAACATCTTCCCTCTGTGTGTGTCTGTGTCTCTTCTCCTCTTTTTATAAGAATGACACTCATATAGGATAAGGACCCACTCGACTCCAGCATGGCCTCATACGAACTTGATTACATCTGCAAAGAACCTACTTCCAAGCAAGGTCACATCCACACGTGCTGGAGGTTAGGACTGCAACTATCTTTCTGGGGGACACAATCAATCCATAATCCCAACTGACCCATTAAAACTGTTCAACATTAGTTAACCAATTAATAATAGTAGCAGTTCTACTATCTTATTCTAGTCTTCCAAAATATAGTCTTGTTATGGCTGTGGGAAAATTGCATAAATGGATTGCAGAGACTGGCTGAAAGTGCATAGGTGATTGAAGACAGCGGCTTTCAATCTGTTTGGGCCGGAACCCACAGCAATACTTCTCGTGTAACATCACATCTCAGTGCACAAATATGCATCTATACATCTGAAACAAATAGTTCACAAACAAACTTTGTCCTTACTACCATCGTATTTTCTATCCAATCCAATTTTATTCTATTTCTATTATTCTTTGCTCCTTTTTAATGCAGACTACACCCCCCTTAGAAGCAAGGATGGCAAGACTATGTCTCACATACTTTGGACATGTTATTAGCAGGAATTAGCCCATGGAGAAGGACATCGTGCTTGGTAAAGTAGTTGTTGTTAGGTGCTGTCAAGTCAATTTCAAGTCATAGTTATACTACGTACAACAGAACAAAACACTGCCCGGTCCTGCACCATACTCACAGTCCTTGATATGCTTGAGCCCATTGTTGCAGCCACTGTGTCAATCCATCTCCTTGAGGGTCTTCCTCTCTTTCAAGACCCTCTACTTCACCAAGGGTGATATCCTTCTCCGGGGACTGATCCCTCCTGATAACACGTACTAAGTATGTGAGACATACTCTCGCCATCCTTGATTCTAAGGAGCATACTGGTTGTACTGCTTCCAAGACAGAGTTGTTCATTCTTTTGGCAGTCCATGGTATATTCAATATTCTTCACCACATATACATTCTATACCGTAAGCAGAGGGTCAGCAAAAAAGAGGAAGGCCCTCCACAAGACGGTTTGACACAGTGACTGCAACAGTGGGCTCAAGCATAACAAAAATTGTGAGGATGGTAAAGGGATGAGCAGTGTTTCATTCTGTTGTACATAGGGTCATTATAACAAGGACCCAGTTAGACAGCAACTAACAACAAAAACAACACACACCCCTGAATAGATTTCATAACCCACTGAATAAGAAATGACCTTCAGTTTGAAAAATTCTGGTTTAAAGCTGTGCATAGAGATGACATCACAAATAGATTAAGTATCACAGCATAGATAAGGAAACAAATAAAATATACCAAGCCAAACTGCAATTTTTGTAGAACACAGTCCTGGTTTTTTACCTTAGGCCTACCATTTAGGACAGGAATTCCAGAATATTTGCAAAAGTAACCACAAACCTCAAAAGACATGAACCCGTATGCATTTCCTAGTACTGCCATCACGAAGAACCACAAACTGGGTGGCTTAAGCCTACAGAAGTTTATTTGCTCACAGTTCTGGAGACTATTATCTGAAATCAAGGTGTTGACAGTGTCATACTCTCTCTGAAGGCTCTAGGGAAGAATCTTTCCTTGCTCATTGTCCTTGGTGTTCCTTGGCTTGTAGATGCACCATTGCAAACACTGCCCCCATCTACACATGCTGCTCTCCTTGTGTGTCTGTCCCTTCTCCTCTTCTGTCTCCTGTCTCTTCTTATAAAGACACTAATCATACTGGAGTACGGCCAACCTAATCAGGTCATCTAATTGACACACTGGAATTATGGTGCTGGCTAAGAATATTCAGTATACCATAGACTGCCAGAAGAATGAACATATCTGTCCTGGAGGAGGAGTACAGTCAGAATGCTCCTCAGAAGCGAGGACGGTGAGACTTTGGTTAAAATGCTTGGCTGGTAACCAAAAGCTTGGTCATTCGAACTCACCAGCCACTCCACAGGAGAAAGATGTGGCAGTTTGCCTCTGTTAAGATTACAGCTTTGGCAACCCTATGGGCAGTTCTACTCTGTTCTATAGGTCACCAGGAATCAAAATCGACTCGACAGCACTGGTTACTCTCCCCAGCCCCAGC